AAAGGGATAGGGAAAAAAAAACCCCAAAAAATAAAAAAACCTTTTGAAAAAAAAAAAAAAAAAAAAACGACTCAAATAAAAAAAGTAAATCAATATAACCGACTGGTTAAGATTTCTGTGATGAAGCAAATGCACAAAAAGACAAACGCACAAGAATGATGACACTACACTATGTGTGATATCATCGGCCGTTGTGACTCAGTGTTGCTCACCTGCTGAGTCTGTGAGGAGGTCGAGGATACCAAGTCTTCTTCATCAGGAGTTTGTTTCCTGGGAAGACGCAGACATGTATCTGTCACTCAATCAGGACATAAACCCTCACTAGGAAACCAATGACAAGTCAGCTTTCGAGGCAGATCCTACTATGACACAATTCCTGCTCGTCCGTTGGTCTTCATGTCTCCGCCCACTTTTCTGCTTAAATCATCTTCATCTACCATCTGCTGTCAAGGCCACCAGTGAGGTTAGGTCATTAATCACTTCCTGTTTGTCTACACTAGTTAATTAACAGGTAATCAATTACCGAAAGCACTGAGTAATGAGGTTCAAAGTCAGCGGATTCCACTCTTCTTCACCAATCAGAGCAGCCTATAAGGTACTGGTCATACTTATCATCATCACCTAAAATTATGTTCTGACCTAGTTTGCTATTAATACCCAGTTACTAGATTGTATTAATGAATAATATTTAAATTTCACTTCATAGCGCACAGAAAATACATCGCAACAAAATAAATGATTTGAAAGCCACTTTCACAGACTATATATATAAATATATACATAGTTATTCAACACCGAGAGACATTATGTTTTTATGATAATTAATAATACAACAAGTTTTAAAATAAAAAGGGCTATGGACTATTGATCCTTTCTGATTCATCATTTCTGAAAGGCTAGAACAAATTTGATATAAAATATGATTTAAAGGCGAGTTAAAACGATTCTACTCTCTGTGCCTTTTCATAAACCAAAACAGAATCAGGTCCCATGTTTAGTTATGATCGCACTGCATCATAGCCAACAAGGGTAGAGTCTAAACCAGTCTAAAGACCAGTGAATGCAGCCCACATAGTTATTGGGTCATAGTTATTGGGACAGCAGCAGATCTTGCAGAACAATGCATCTTCTGGCATCTTCTAATTTGTTTGTCCACTGCGGGATTTGTTAGTCACACGATCGTGACATTGTGCGTTCTTAGTTCGGTCGGATATTTGGTATTCACAGTTCAAGTGAGCAAAACAGAAAAAAGTTGAGCGGGACTTTCTCTGGTGATATAAATAGGGGTGAAGTTCAGATATGGTAGCCGTTAAAAAGTCTTTGTTTTCCTCTTTTGCAAATCCAAACCGACGCATTAAAACAAATTCAGAAATGTCTCGCCGGATACGAAAGGATCCATCCACTGCATTTTTTTCTCTCCTGTCGCTTTTTATTTGAACTGTTTTGTTTCCGTCTTCGTATTCAATTCACTGTCCTTGAAGGACAAACAGTTCCTTTTGTATTTATCTTTTAGTATGCATGCTTTTCTCTGTCAGAAGACAGTGAACAACATCCAGCAGCGCGTGTTAAAGGAAGCCCAGAAGTCAGAGGTCAAACGCAGAGAGAGACTCTATTCATCTGTCAGACGGAAAACAGAGAGGCAATGGAGTGGAAAAATCTGGAGGAAAAAAAACCTCCAAACACACTAAAAAGAACTGACACACACAAAAACATAAACACTAGCACAGACACACGCCTTTGCTAATCTGTATCAAGTTAATCTGACGGTGGCAATGGCAAAAAAAACACAAAGATCTGAATATGTAAAACACAAAAAGAATCTTTAAATGCGGCCGGGTGTGTTCTAACTAAGGGTTGTAACAGATGCTGGTGACAGAAGACAGCTGCACCTAGACCCTAGTAATTATTCACACACACACACACACATACACTTTTATTCCTCTGTAATCTGAACATTCACACTGAGCTAGTGAAGGCTGGGGAGACGCCCACTGAATAACTGTCTACTGAATTAGTGTGTTCTTGATGGGGGGGGGGATGGGTGGTTTTCAATATTATTTTACCTTTTATAATGCCGTGAAGTTTGTAATTATTAATTTAAAAAATAAATAAAAAAACTGACAAAAAAAAATAAAAAATAAAATTGACCATATAATACACTTAGCACCTGCTGGAACTGTGGATACCACAATTAACTTTTATTCTTTCCACAAAAGTGACTGGTCCCAGAATTGGGAAAAACAATACCAGAAAGTAAACGTTATCAATGATTTTACACAAGATAACTGATTTGGTAAAAGAAATGTCACTGAATTATGACCACATTGGAAACACAGGTCACCTTTATCAACCGGGTTAGTACTTTTCAACGTCACCATTTTCAATAGGAAAATATCACTGTACGGACAAAGCCAAAGACACGGGGAGAAGGAAGGATGTTAAAGGGTGGAAGCGGGAGAGTAAATGGACCCCGGTCGACCCAGCTTATCATAACACTTCCTCCCTCATACGTAAAAGGACTCACACACACACACACACACGCAGAGTCTGGCTTTCATGTGTTTTGTGAACTCCATAATGGATATTGTTACCCTAATTCTATTCATAACTTTAAACTAAACCTTACCCCTTCCCCCCTCCCCAAAATATCTTTGTTCTTATTGAGGACCTAAAAAATGTCCCCACAAGGACTCCCACAAAAAAAGTATTTTACTAAAGAAAGGATAGCTTAACCTAGACCACACACACAGATACTTTATCCTGTTGGAGTTTAAAAGGTTCAACAATCATACTTCCTACTAGATAACTAATAAGTAGTCAGAAAAAAATCACACAGCAGCGTCACAGCCAGGCACTAAGATGAGCCGACGACGTTCAAACTCAGCTTTACAATGTAAAACATGTGCAAAAAATATATATATAAAAAAAAAGATCATGTCCAAATCTCACTGGTCAATTTCCAAATTTGAGATGTGATTAAAAAGGAGACTTAATGAATTCATTTTGCGCAAAAACATTCATATTTCTAGACGTCATCAATGTATTCATGCTAATGTTGGCCATAAGCTCGGAAAAAAAAAAAAAAAAGATTTCCCAGCATGTTCTTGAGTCTTCGTATTTGCGGAATACATTTTAATCACGGTGTATTCGAAGGCTTTAATCATATTCAGTGTGTGCATGCTTATGTGTGTGTGTGTGTGTGTCTTCTTTATGATTTTTTAAAATCACCTGCAGCTACACAGTCAGTTTGTGTGTGTGATCTGACACAACAGAGAGGGGATGGGTGGTGTGTGTGGGTGTGTGTGTGTGTGTGTGAATGCAGTTTGGTGCAGTAGCTGGTGCGATCAAGGACACTCATTCATATTCCATGTATATGCAAGCGTGTGTGTGTGTGTGTGTGTAACAGCCACACCCTATAACCGCCGACTTTTTTTTTTCTCCACATTTCCTGATCATTCAAATTTCTTAATTTTACCTACAGTAGAACCTCAAGATACGAGCGTAATCCGTTTCAGGACCAAGCTCGTAACTCGAGGTGCTCGTATCTCGAATCATTTTTTTTCCCCATAAGGAATAACGGAAAGATCGTGCTAATAACAATGGAGAAAACATGTTGTTAATTTCTATAGAGATATACACACACACAAAATTATAGTATATAAGGATTCCTGTGATATAAAATAAAATGTGGTTTTAATTATGAGTTCTTACCTTCGAGACAGAGGAGGCTAATGGTGGCAGACACTTGATTCCGTAGCGTACCTTACACGTACACTACGTAACTTAAATAAACTTAGAATTAACCTAATTTACGCATATACGTTGTAATTTCACAGTGAGTGAGGCCTAATGCCTAGTGGCACATTTCGCAGTTTCTGTTTGGCTGTCACACCTTAGTATGTGTGGCGGGATGGGAATGGATAAGACGTCGAACTGTGTCATTGATTTTACTTATTGATTTGTTTCTTGGTTGATTCTCGTAGCAATTCCCAATGTTAGAAAACTTAATTAACACCGTATTTCTGGATTATTGAGAGCACCTGAACATTAGCCGCACCCATTAAATTTAAAAAGAAAAAAATAATTGTGTATATATATATATATATAGGCTGCACTTCTCTATAAGCCGCAAGTGTCTATGTTGGAACATTGGATATTTACGCAGAAAGATTTTTTTCTCACTTTAATTAAATAAATGCTTTTTGTTTTTCCCCAAACAGTGTATGTGACAAGGCTGGTTACACGTTAGCTCTTTTCCTGCCCAAACAGTGCATGTGACACGGCTGGTTACACGTTAGCTCTTTCCTGCTTCGACGCCTTCCTTCGACTGTAGTTGGAATGCACAGGGAGGATTAGTAATCTGCTCCAGGACCGAAGCTAACGTTAGCTCCCGGGGCTAACTCCCTTTCACTTTGTACTTGTCCGCAGCAGAGGTAAACAGAAACAGTGAAGTTGGGGTCTTTATAATCAGCCCCACTGACCACAACAGAACATAAACAGAGTTTTAACAGCTCCTCTATAACCAACTCTCACTTCAACATGACAGGGCGACAACTGCTCTCAACTTTCGCTACCGTTCTCTCTCTCGTGCGCACTCCACACACTTATACGCACACAGCCATTCACAGACAAATATACGCTACTAGTATAACACAGAGTAGCCTACTAGAAAGGTCATTGATCGCTAGCGGTAGGAACTTCGTTAGCCCGTAAAAATCCATAAATTAGCCCGCATCATTGTTTAAGCTGCAGAGTTTCAAACGTGTGAAAAAAGTAGCGGCTTATAGTCCGGAAATTGAAGTAAATACAACCGGACCACGATTTCATGAACCACAACTGGACCACAATTTGGGAAAAGTGAAAAGTATTTTCGTCAACGTACTCTACATACTCTCAACGTACTCTCTTTCTGTGCAGAAAGAAAATTTCAAAACATCAAGCTGCCTGTCATTAACATTACAACAGGTGCACTGAAGGAAAATCAGTCCCACATTCACATTAATCCCAAAAACCAATAATGTCAGTCAACATTACAACTTCCATTTTACTCGTAATGTCTCATTAGTTGTCATGAGATCAGTAAATATTTGTAAGCCCACAAAGGATTAATGGAATATTTTCTCTGTAGGCCTACAACATTATAGCGTATTAAAACCAAGGGTACAGATCTGCAGGATCTGCAGGATCCGGATCATTTTTCGTGCCGTGTTTATTCCCACATCCAAATGATGAACTCAAATCAAGTCATCGAAACATCCAGTTACACTTAACGGCACATTTTCAACCAAATATTTTTTTGGCTGCCACATATTCGGTGCATCCCTAATAAATAGAGGAAAATATCTAAATCTTTGACAAAAGATTATTCCATTTTTACCCAGACATACCTTTGTTACCCCAAATAGCAGCAGAAACAGCTAAAAGGTTAAGGTTAAAAAACTGAAATGAAGCCAAGAGTTAGCCAAAAAAAATCCAAATAAAACCAACATTATCAAAAGCATAACCACCATAATTCATGGGCCTGTGAAAACATTACAAAATATATTTTCAAACAAATACGGGTTTCCCGTTTTACCGTCAACTGTTAGCAATGTTTTTCTGGTGAGATTAGTTTAAAATTCAAAGCCGCAGTAAAATCTTACGCATATGTGTGTGTGTGGAGATTAGAGGTGATTAAGCACAAACACTAATCTAACTCGGGCTAAAATCCCCAAGCTTAGCCAAATGGATGTTGAATCATCTTCACACTGTTGTTATGATGATGTCACTGATAAGGCGCCTATATGTAGGTCACATGACCTGAGCATCAGATTAATTCCAATTTGAGGCCATGGTCAACTTCATGGGCTTCATTGGTTGTGGGGGGAAAAAAAGCAGCCAATGTAGCAACTAGTTGAGCTTTTATAATCTGTGGAGACAGAAGCCTTCTGTTCACAACAGCTGAAAATGTGGCACCTATGTAGTCACCCTTCATTGCATATCTAGCAAACAAACTGTTGGACCAGTGAAGGAAAGCTCAGCAGGAGCAGCTGTCTATCTCTGCAGACTCGAATGACTTAGTTCACAAAGTTTTGGACTTAAAGTCTACCTAGTCTTGGGGCGCAGGTCTAAATCAAATAAAGCTCGGACCGCTTATGGACGCTTGTTAAGGTTGATTATGGAAATTAAAATAATAAGAATCATTTTAATCAACCTTGACATTATTTAAACAACTGATAATAAACTCTAAAATCAAATTGTATTGATCACACATATTGTCTCTTCCAGTCCGTCTGGGCCAACCCTCATCACAAAATAACTCTGTTTTACAGCTGTACAGCAAGAATGTTTCTATCATTCTATAAATAGAAGGAGCTGAGCAGGCCTGTGACCAGAAACTGAGACACGGTTAGATTCCTAGCATACACACTTGTCTCTTGTCTGTCATTGCATAGAATGATGTCCAAACTGATGAACTGCCCACACCGGTGGTCTCCCAGTCCTGAGGATTTAGAATGGATCACAGTACGATCCATCGTCTGCACACGCACACACGGGCAGAGGTGTGGACTCGAGTCTCATGACTTGGACTCGAGTCAGACTCGAGTCCTCAATTTGACGACTTTAGACTCGACTTGACAAAATGTAAAGAGATTTGGAACTCGACTTGGACTTTAACATCAATGACTCGTGACTTCACTGACTTCACAGGACTCGAGCCCTTTGACTCGACAAGACTCGATACTTTCTCCAAAACCCAAAGATTATAAAGTAAGTTATTGTGTATCTCCCATTGTGCACGTATGTGCTGTCGGCACAACATCCAATCAAATAAAACGTTGGCCAATCAAATTGCGGGACAACCAATGAGAAAGAGCTGACGAACAATGCGCGGGTTAGAGAAAATGATACCAAAGATCGTGTTGTTCGGATTTAAAAACTACGAGGTGGTCAACAAAAAACGAGTGGCAGTGAGTGGAAGGACTCGAAAGGACTCGAAAACAGAAACGGCAGGACTTGGGACTTGAGACTTGACACTTTTCAGTCTTGACTTGGACTCGACTCGGACTTTGCCTATTTTGACTTGAGACTTGATTCGGACTTGAGTGCAAAGACTTGGTCCCACCTCTGGTAGGTACTGCATAAAGCTGCATAACTAAACTTGACAAGTTTAAAGGCAAGAACAAGAACAAAAAC